GAATGGCATTTGGGATCCAATTTTCAAATTGCATTCGGTAGCTCCTTCCTCAGCTTTAGTAATACATATACACTGTATATGGCTCCCAGACCCGAATGGCATTTGGAAGCTCCTAAATGCAATGCAGAAATTCAGATCCCGAATGCCATTCGGGTCTAGAAGCCTCAGCTTTAGTATTATATGTATATACTGTATATGGCTCCCATGTTGCCATAACGAAAATTTGCGTTCAGACCCATTCGGATGCATTAAACAGAAAAACCCATCTGATTGGCCAGAAAAGTCACATGTCCCATTCAGTTTAGTTTTTGAACAAAATTCGGACAGGATCAGAAATCGGGAAACGGAAATTCGGATTCGGACACATTCGGATTTGGAAATATGGAGATGTCCGAATGTCTGAATTTCGTAAAATTTTTAATTAAAGAATTTTGATTCGGAAGGAAACTAATCGCACATGTCTAGTATACTTGTCTTTGTCTCCCTTGAAGGAAATGCCCAGTACTTCTCAGTACGGAGGAGCATGCGGCTTATGTCATTGGGCCAATCAGCGCTGCCACATGGGAGTCCATAGCACTGTGTGAGCTACAGCTCCCGCATCTTGTAGATCCAATAGCACAGGGCAAAGCCAAACTTCGCCCTCCAGCTATGGCGCAACTATACATCCCATAAGGCATTACAAAGGCTCTGACAGCCTCAGGCAGATGCATGCTGGGATTTGTAGGTTCACCACAGCTGGAGGACCAAAGTTTGGCTACCCCTGCAACAGGGTTTTCTTTTCAATGAACAGAGAGGGGGTCTGGAGGTGAAGCCAAAGGAAGATTAGTTGCTGGGGGGGGTTGTATGTTTTAAAGTGGACCTGTCTCTTTGCTGTGCATGTGTAAAGGGCCAGTTTACACCATTGTGTCTTATGTGCGCTACAATGCAAGGACACAGCACGCTAAAAGCATATCAAACATAGTTATAATTCTAATCTATGAAGCTCTTCATATCGGTGTGTTGCATTTTTTAAAAATCCCGGTTGCTGCATCTCTTGTGCGTTGTGGTAAAAAAACGCCTTACATTTTAGCCAACGGAGACTTACAAGGCTATTCACAAAAGGGTGAAGAGTTTGGAGAAGGCAGGAGAAGGGAACACTCTAGGCCAAAATAGCAGATTTGGAAAAAGTCTCCAATTCAGCTCGTATTCACTTCTCCTTCCTTCTCCCTTTAGTGAATAGCCCTGGTAGTCCCTTATCTGAAACTAAACATAGTTATTGCATTTATACCAACTGTGCTTGGATATGCTTACCGATAACTACATGCACACTGTTAGTGCAACCATATCAGTGAATTTTGTAAGCCACATGCCCATATTTCCAATGCGCCTGCATGTAAAATGCCCCAAAAAAACGCACCTTGATTTGCATTACATTTTAACTCAATGCATTAAAGGCACGCACATGTGCATTTTCTAACTCTATGGTGTGAACGGGTCCCAAAGCCCATGTCGCTCCCTTGCTAGAAGTTGAGATTGTGCAGAGTTCCAGCCAGTGAGGGACCCATATGCATTAGGTAAAGTGACAGATGCATTTTGCTGATTCTGCTTCTGGCGACACCTCACCAGAGGGACATCAACCTATACAGCAGCAACTGCTGAGGCGTGCAAGGGCATACGTGCTGCCTGCACATGGGATCTGTAATATGGCCATTATGTAATACTGATAACAATAATACTATTATGTAGCAGATTTCTCCCCGCGGGAGTGAAGCACTTGAGAGAATATAGTAATATGGTAGTGTAAAGGCAATGGCTAATGTACACCGCAGACTTCAATTAAAACCTCCTCAATAGGCTTCCGGGACTGACGCGAGGAGCGAGCGCTGTGAGAAGTGCCCACGCGCCATGGGAACGAGGTGTTTAAACATTAATAATGATAAGTTTATATGAAGCTGAAAATATTGACAGGTATACAGTATGTAAAAAGCTATTGACTTTCTTTAGGGCTCGTTCACCCCATCTATTGCCGGAAACACGTCAGTAACGCGCTGAATGCGCTGCCAAAAACATGTAACTGTCTTTCTGAATGGCAGCCCAGTGCACCTATTGATGGGCATGAGTTGCCATGCAGCACAACCCGTGGCAGTGCACTAACTGCACTTTTGTTGGCAAGACACATTGGTCAGCTGGTGCATAGGGCTGCCATTCAAAATGATTGGTGCCACATTGCACCAATGCACTTGATGGTGCGCATGGGCCCTAAGGCTGTAATCACACCTGTGCTGGCCTAGTCAGTGGGATCACATCAAAACGCACATCGTGCGGGAGCTGAGTTGCGTTGCCATTCATTTTAATAGCACCCCAATGCACATCCTGGCCCCCATTCTCCTGAAGATGCCCATGCGGTTGCGGCAGGGGCATTCCCCAACGTTGTGATGCATAGCTGGAGGGCTTGGTGTGAACCCAGTTCTCCTGAAGATGCCTAAGCCCGTGCAAAACTGTGA